AGCACAAATCGATGTATTCTAATCACCTGTAATTTTAAACTGAAGTGAAACACGAAAGTAAACACGACATTGATGGCTCGTGTATCAATACCTTAATGCCTTCCAAACTTTTTCTGCTTTCATTATGTTGTGCGATAGCGTTGCCAACACTGTTTTGTTTTCTATAGTCAGAACACTTCCTAATTGGCTGTGTTCATTAACTTCCACTCAATCCAGTTTTTAAACTATCTTTTCACATTAGTTTTGGTTTGTGACGCACGTGTGGTTCCGTGTGCTGTATTTATTTATAACATTTGCTGCTGGAAAAATATTAATCAAACACACTACTTGATGGAAGGGCAACATTGCATTATTGTTCGAAACAAAATGCCGTGATATTGTTTGAATTAATCCTCATGAAGGATGAAATGTAAGTATGTGTTTTAATATGTTGTGGGAATAAGGGTCCAAAAATTCCAAATATTTCAGTTTACAATGGAGTAGCCTACATTTGTAAAGCCTCTTTTTAATGTTACCTTCAAAATATTGATATTTTGGTAGCATGGCGCCATACCAAAAAGGTCAACATGGACACACGTTTCGGGAAAAGGTACTATATACCTATTGTATATTTCTATTCTGTTCTATATTTTGCATCCGACTTTCAACAGAATTGGTTGTATCTTGGACCCTCGTGTTGTATCAAACCGTCCTAACAAAAATCATCAATATTGGTCCACATTATAGATTAGCTCCCATATAACGGTACGTCTCATATTTCGCCATTTTTGGAAACAATTTTCAACCAAAATTGGCTGTATTTTAGTATTTCGGACGCTTATTGAATGGAAAATAACAATACAAAACAATATTAAGATTGACTCATATAACGATACACCACAATTATCGGTATTTGGAGACCGATTTTCAATATAATCGTCTATAAATTGATCATTTTGGTTTTCATTGGTTGTCATATACAAACTCCGATCGATTTCAGATATTTTGAAGTGTGGGTGTTATAACAAGTTCGTAAAGATATTTTTTTCTATAATGATATTGCTTGGGAGCACTGGGTTTTATGATAATCTACATGATTATCAGCATATGATTACTCCTTTCTCGTCGTAATTATATGCTGATATTTTTAATATAATTAACAATAAAATTTATTTCAAACGTGGCTAATCCAATTATTATTATTATTTGTTTCTAGGAATTTTGAAATTATGTTACGCTGGTGGTATTCCTCCATGATCTTACCTGAGGTCGATCACGTGTTAAGTGTTTTGGTAAGTATCGAAAATATTAAATGAATACGAATTCATGATATACATTAGTTCTAATGATGAAATTGCTTAGAGCGCTGGGTTATGACTACACCATGATTACCAGTTTTATTTGACATTCTTTACTGAGATATAGATATTATTGTAGATACATTTCTATTGTCAGTTATCAGTAACTAATAAATTATTTTCTTATTATTGCAGCACTGAAATTAAAGCCGGAGTAAATTGACTGCCCACTGATTTTAATAACAGCAAGATGGAAGAGATGCTACTACTATTGTTATCAGCATTGCGTCGATAGAAACTAAGAAGGCAATATGTGTGTCCAGCTTTTATGTACAGGTATATATTTTTTCATAATATTTATTTATATCTATTTAATTAATTACTGTAATGATGAAATTGCTTAGAGCGCTGGGTTATGATTTCATAATGATTACCCATTACTTGACATTCTATTCTGAGAGTAATTACTTTTTACATATTTTTTGTAACATAAATCAATGATTCAATACTAAGCTATAACTATTATTTTTTTAATTTCAGGTTGATTAATCATGGATACATGACAAGGCATGACAAGACAGGAAAACTGGTACCTTCAAACTATAAATTGGATCTAATATAGATTACCTTTTAATGTCTACTACTTAACACAATTATGTATTAAATATAAAGATCCTTGAAAAAATATAAAATGAGTTGAAAATAATACAATAACTTTTTTATTTAATTTGATTGTCATAACCTAACAAAATTTTAAATATTGGACCACTTCTTAGGGCACCCTCATATAACGTTACCTGTAAAATTGGCTGTGTAATTTAGTATTTTGAAATCTTATGTAGCAAATCTTTCTACAAAAATTTGATATGGGTGATTCGCATTGAGTGCCATATCTCCCTATCAAAGGGTTGTAAATTGTCAATCCGTGTTCTTGGAGATTGGAAAACATTTGCCGACTGTTGTTATACCTGTGGTACAGGGTATTATGCCCGTGCTTATGTTTGTAACAGGCGTTTATCACCTCGCGGATCGGTTTGAAACTTTTAGCACATTTAGTACTTGGGGCCCTGATTGCAATGGTATCCTTTATTTCTTGCGGAAATCGGTATTTCCGGAGATATGGGACTCCAAAGTTCCGTTGGGGCCCTTGTATTTCCTCATGATTTTTAAATTTACTAAGGCAATGTGGGTATCAGTAAATTGAAAACTTAAAACGCATTTTCTGAAAAATCGTTTTTTTTAAGTTATGCCTGTCTTGTAACAAGTGTGCGATATGTTCATGAGAACGTATAGGACCATATAAAGATCACGATATTTTTCTGAATTTCGAAAGTGTTAATGGCTGTAATTTGGCATTCTTGGTTCTCGGATGATGAAAGGCATCTCAGCATAAAATTGTCGATAAAGGGCCACGTTTTGGAGTGTGAAAAAATCTTTGAAGAAATCTGTATATATAAGTCCATATTTATACCCTTCACCACACTGTGGTACAGGGTATTATGTCTTTGTGGATATGTTTGTAACAGGCAAAAGGAATCGCGATAGACCCATGGTTCCTTTTAAGAATATGCATAGTATCACTTTCTTAATCGTCCGTCCTTGTATTTTTGTGAACAAAGTACAGGTCGCATTTATGATCCGATTTGGATGAAATTTGGCACAGTTCACCTATTTGGCCCAAGGACGAACCCTATTGAAATTGGATATAGCTCCCATATATAGTTTCGTCCGATTTTTTGTGAATGATACACCAAACTCCCAATATTTGTCCGATTGAGACAAAATTTTGCACAGAGTACTGAATTAGGTCCAGACTGATGTCTGTGAAGTTTTGTTATAATCGCTTCAGATTTAGATATAGCTCCCATATATAGTTTCGTCCGATTTTTTGGGAATGATACACCAAACTCCCAATATTATTTGTCCGATTGAGAAAAAATGTTGCACAGAGTACTGAAGACTGATGTCTGCGAAGTTTTGTTATAATGGGTTCAGATTTAGATATAGCATGATATAGAATGATACACCAAACTTCCAATTGAGGAAAAATGATGTGTAATAAGGTTTGTTGAAATCGATTCAAATTTTGATATAGGTCTTACATATATTTTCGTTCGATTTTATGTAAATGGTACAACGAAGGGCCTATGGTTGTTCGATTTTCACGAAAGTTGGCAGAGGGTATTAAATTGAATATAGAGTGGTAACAAAAACAAATTGTGTATGCAACATTTGCTCAATTCGATCCATGTGTTTACATATAGCTCCTATACATAATATTACTCAATTTCATATAAATGGTACACCAAGGAATCCAAGTCTGCCCGTTTGAGTCCAATTTTTCATTGATTTCAGAATGGTATGTGTATGGGATTTTTTCTATTGGTTCAAATATCTATCTGGATAGCACATTTAATTTCGCCCGATTCCATCTCAATGGTCCTCCGAAGATCCTATGTCAGTTCTATCGACAGGATATTGTATATATCAACATCTCTTGTATGTACTCAAAGTTGTGAAGGGTATATAGTCGGCCCCGACCGACTTTTGAACTTTCCTTACTGGTTTTCTATTGCGTTGCACTTACTGGAGCCGCATAGCTTGACACAGATCGGTCTATCGCTTTACCGATCCCGAAGTACTGCCTGTTAGTGACCTGAGTACTTTGTTCCTACTACTGACCTTATTGCAAATAGATGTGGTATGTACTGACGACTTATATAGGCTATCCCTAGAACCTTGGGTGGTTGGTCTATTTCCGCTGGCCAGTTTAAGCCGTTGTTAATCGCCAAGGTTTATTTTCATATTGCTTAAGGGGACCCCCCATTCTCGGGGTCAAAAATTTTGTTGATATAATTCGAATCTACACTAATTAAAGAATGTCCCTGCAAAATTTCAAATGAAAATCTCAAGAACTCTTGAAGATATAGCCGATTTTTGTGACAGCATCAAGTGACGGCTGAAGGGCTTCTCAAACTTTAAACGCGTTTTTCTCTTTTGCGAATGGCGGGCACGATAACTCAAAAACTAATAACCCAATCGACTTCAAATTTTTACACGTTTCTCTGTAAGTGTGTAGCTATCGTATGAACTAGGATAAAGTCAGTCGATGAAGATCTTCCTCATTTTTTGACATGGGTTTTGGTAAAAAATCTGCGATTTTCCAAAAATATTTTTTCAAAGGTCCACCATTTTGTTAATTTTAGAGCGAAGTCAATAATCCTAGTTCATACGAGAGCCAGATATGTACTCTTTCTAACACCGTTGGAATTTTCGGATTCCGATGTTCCAGTGAAGAGTTATAATGCCCGCCATCAAAAATAAGGACTTTTCAAAAAACAACAACAAAAATGTTTTGTAAATTATTTTTCTTCTCTTTTAAATCTTCAATTATATATGTGTAAAGTTACAAACCTTAACAAGCATTGGTATTGATTTACCAGCCCATTGAAAATCTTGAAAAATTTAAATCGAGAATGGGGGGGGGGGGGGGGTTCCCTTAAATGGAAAAAAGTCTCTGCTATGCCCATGAATTACATGTTCAACATATCGCCGATATAATCTATATTAGGACCATGATCGCACAATAATCCGCGTGCGTATTGATGTCGTCCGTTAATTGTGGAATTCCATAAAGGCTCAGGGGCTAAAAAGTTCTAGACCTTTGACGTTATATTTCAGAATTCCATGTACGACTGCATCTCAGAAACCGAAAATAATTTGTTAATTTGTTAATGGCCAATTCAGAGTCGGGTTCAACGCTCCGCCTTGGATTTGGCGTTGTTTTTCCTGTTCAAAACTCACCTATAAATTCATTAAAAATTTAGTTTTCAATATTGGTATATTTGGAAAATGAAATTGGTTTCTTCAAACCATTTGTAATTAAATTACAATGGATAATTCGTTTGGTAATATAAAATACATACATACACATTTAAACTCTCGTATACAAGTCATATATAAAAATAATAAAAAAAAAAAATACTTTAAAATCAGTTCTTAATCATAATACTTTATATAACTTTAGGTTAGGTTTGGTTTTTTCGATTTAAACAAATTCGAAAAGAATCCTGGTTATACCCTTCACCACACTGTGGTACAGGGTATTATGTCTTTGTGCATATGTTTGTAACAGGCAAAAATAATCGAGATAGACCCATGGTTCCTTTTGAGAATATGCATAGAATCACTTTCTGAGTCGATTTACGCATGTCCGTCTGTCCGTCCGTCCGTCCGTCCGTCCGTCCGTCCGTCCGTCTGTCCATGTTAAATTGTAAACAATGTACAGGTCGCATTTATGATCCGAATTGGATGAAATTTGGCATAGGTCACTTATTTGGCCCAAGGACGAACCCTATTGAAATTGGGAAAAATCGGTTCAGATTTAGATATAGCTCCCATATATATATTTAACCGATTTAATGTAAACAGTCCCTATATAACTTTCGATTTGCACGAAATTTAGTACAGCCTAATCATTTAGGTCTAGAATGATGTCTGCCAAGTTTCGTGAAAATCGGTCCAGATTTAGATATAGCTCCCATATATAGTTTCGTCCGATTTCATGTAAATGGTGCCTCAAAGTCCCTATATATCTTTTGATTTGCACGAAATTTGGCATAACGTACTGAATTAAGCCTAGAGTGATGTCTGCCAAGTTTCGTGAAAATCGGTCCAGATTTAGATATAGCTCCCATATATAGTTTCGTCCGATTTCATGTAAATGGTGCCCCAAAGTCTCTATATATCTTTCGATTTGCACGAAATTTGGCATAACGTACTGAATTGAGTCTAGAATAGTGTCTGCCCAGTTTCAAGAAAATCGGTCCAGATTTAGATATAGCTCCCATATATAGTTTCGTCCGATTTCATGTAAATGTTGCCCCAAAGTCCCTATATATCCTTCGATTTGCACGAAATTTGGCATAACGTACTTAATTGGGCCTAGAATGATGTCTGCCAAGTTTCATGAAAATCGGTCCCGATTTAGATATAGCTCACATATATAGTTTCGTCCGATTTAATGTAAATGGGGCCCAAAGTCCCTATATATCTTTCGATTAGCACGAAATTTGGTACAGCCTAATCATTTAGGTCTAGAATGATGTCTGCCAAGCTCCGTGAAAATCGGTCAAGATTTAGATATAGCTACCATATATAGTTTCGTCCGATTTCATGTAAATTGTGACCAAAATCCATATATATCTTTCGATTTGCACGAAATGTGGCATAACGTACTGAATTGAGCCTAGTGTTATGTCTGTCAAGTTTCGTGAAAATCAGTCCAGATTTAGATATAGCTCCCATATATAGTTTTGTCCGATTTCATGTAAATTGTGCACCAACATCCATATATATCTTTCGATTTGCCCGAAATTTTGCACAACGTACTGAATTGAGCCTAGAGTGATGTCTGCCAAGTTTCGATAAAATCGGTCCATATTTCTATATAGCTCCCACATATAGTTTCGTCCGATTTCATGTAAATGGTTCACCAAAGTCGCTATATATCTTTCGATTTGCACGAAATTTGGCATAACGTACTGAATTGAGCCTAGAGTGATGTCTGCCTTGTTTCGTGAAAATCGGTCCAGATTTAGATATAGCTCCATTTTATTATAGATTGATTTTATGTAATTGACGCACCAAGGAACCAATAGGAACAAAACGTTCTAAAGTTAGTATAACCTAACCTGTGACAAGTTTGTTTGAAATCGCTTAATATGTGGATATAGCTTACATATAGTTTTTCGCCCGATATCAAGCAAATTGGGCATCATACTCCTCATGTTAGTCAGATTGACATCAAATTTTGCACAACGTACAAAATTGAGCATAGAATTACGTAGTTGCGTTTTCTAGAAGTACAGACATAGTCAACCGGATGACCTATTTATATTTGTTTGAAGTCGATTTACACACTTTATGGACAAATCTAGGTAGATTCACATTTAGATAAATATCACATATTTTATTTCATCCAATTTCATGTTAATAGTCCTGTTTAATGTACCCATAGTGGTGAAGGGTATCCTAGAGTCGGCCCCGTCCGACTTTACTACTTTCCTTACTGGTTTTTTATTTGTAATGGAATGCTGATTTGTTTCAGATGTTAGTAATGATGAGTTTGCGTTGTCATGCGGTGAACAGTCTTTTTTGATGGTTTTAAAACCACCCAATGGTGGAACTTGAGTTTTATATTGACCCATAACATTGCCGGGTGGATCATAGTTACAAACAATAAATGTCATATTGTCACTGGAAAGGGAAAAAGCAGAAGTTAAATAAAGTAAAATTTGTAATAAATATAATTCCCTTACACTTTGGCCTTTCCCACACCCACTTCTTTGGTGTCGAGCCACACAACTTGCGTGAAATGTCCCGTAGCCGAACTAAAACCTGGCTTATTGAATTTATATTTATTGATTTCATCATACCATGCCTTGACAGCATCCTCAGCTGTTGGATCCCGGTTGATAAGTTGATAAATATTTTCACCATAATCGTTGTTCGGGCGATGATACATGCTGCGTGTTTTTGTCAAGTGCTAAGGAGATAGATAAGTAATATTTTAAATTTTTAGAAAAGTTTCCTGCAAAAAATGACTTACTATGGCCCAATCATTAGCCAAACTGCATAGTTTTCTATTGAGCACCAATGGCTCACAGCCGTGCAAAGCTCTGCGTTTATTGTGTTCCTCAAGGCATTCCAATTCAAATGCGGACCATTTGCCATGTTTGTTGCCAATCACTTTTTTCAAAGCCTGCGAGGTGCTCGGTTTATTATCGTTTTCGGTTTTAGAAGGAACCACATTCGTTGGTCTTCCAGGTTTGGAATCAGGTTCTGTTTTGGATATAGTTATCAATCTTGACGGCTGCGGCTTTGGTTGTCTTCCCTTGGGACGTAGAACATTGTCTTCAAATTTACCCAAAATATTTCCAGGTGGATCATAGTTACAAACAACCCATGTACGATCATTTCTGGAATTTAAGATTAAATGATTAATATTCTTGGAGGAAAATTAATATTACGTTCGATTCCAACTTACTTCTTGACCACTCCCACACCTAGTTGTGTACTCTCTTGCCATACAAGTTGACTGAAATGTCCAGTATTTCCGGAGAAGCCAGGATTTTTGAAATCATAGTATTCCATTTCATCGTACCATGACTGTGTAGCATCCTCAACGCTATATGAGCTTCCAGTGCCGAATGCTAAATTTTCACCAAATTTACACTTTTTACGATGTTTTAATTTATTCTTCTTTGCCAAGTGCTGAAATGGGAAAAAAGAGGAGGGCACTTTTTAGAATGGTATTTAGTTAGTGGCTATATATACAAAAGGTCTGTACATGTTTTTATATTACTGTAAAAAATCTACGTTACTTTGAGATTATATTAAGTAGTTTGTTAAGAAGAAATTTGCTGAAAAATTTGCCTTAACCTTGAGGATATTCTGACTGAAATTTATTTTCACAAGTTGGGAATTGTCGGACTAAAATTATATCTGAAATTGTCCTGAGCAGAGTCAGAAAGAGACTTCTCCGAAGTAGCCTATGAGGTTGCATTTCTATTGGGCTTCGTATCTGAGCCGGAAGGTGGTAGACATCAGTAAATTGGCCTACAATGTACAATATCGAGAAAGAAATAAGGTATTTTCTTCGTGTCACGCCATAATCGAATTTATATACCTTTCAGCTGTCAAGGAAAGACACTAAGAAGATCTGATTCAGTTTGTTGATGTTAATATCAGCTAACTGGTTTTTTCGGAATCGATCGAAATAGTTGTAGTGTAAAAAAATGCGAAGGACGTTATCGCCGATCGCGTATATTCTTTAAAAACACTGTAACAGTGCTACTTAAACATGTGCCTGCGATCGGAAGCATATTGAAAAGTCCAATATTGTTTTTTCTGTTTCTGTGAATTGAATAAACAGTCGCGAAAAGTCAGCGGGTTCAAAAGGATCTTCTGGCCAGACGAGGCGAAGTGTTTTGGCGCCCCCTATAATTAACCCAACTTATGGGTTCCTAGTTTCCTCTCCTAAAGGATGACTCCCTGGGGTGTTATGCGAACTAATGCCCATCAGTTTGTATGGTTAGCAGTTAGCGTTCCGACTGTATTCGAACGGAGCCTCATCGATATCTGGCCGCATCGGTGAGTATTAGGTTTAGTTACATCAAGTTCTTCACAAATCAAGATCTATGGGGTCCCAAACCTTGTTAAACCCCCCAAAAGCCAAGACCAAAACAAATTCCTTTGGTGTGGTTACCTTAGCAATCTTTAGGATTCGGACTCTTCTCACAAATCAATGAGCGTATGTTTCCGCATATTGCAGCGTTCGGCAACCGCAGGAGGGTACGACTTTGCGCCGATCTTGGACGACATAAATGACAATTTGACCCGACAATGAGAATCCCTCTTGAGCCTAATTGAGGAATACGGCAGCTTCCGTCTGAGCCAGGGATGATTAGGAGGAGAATGACCCTCGAATCGACAGGGGACGTCAAAAATGAGAGCTGTGGTATGGGCTCCTCGGAAGCGGTACCCGTCGTTAACAGTGAGTGCAATTTGTTATGGGTTGTGGCTTTTTCTCTTCATATAAAGAAGATCCTTTCTGACATACTTGGCTTTGTTGATACACCAGATGGATCTACGTCTCCTCTTGCAAGTGGTCTATTTGAGACACCCCGTTACAGTCCTCAGGTCGGTAATCTGGCAGAATTAAATGTTGTGCACTGGTGGAGAGTCTTAGAGTCTCTCAGAACAGACGAGGCCAGAATGGCGCCTGTTACCATCAGTCTCGAACTATACACGGTAATATTTCAATTAACATCCACAAACGATGACGACCGATGCCAATGTACCGGACGACTCTTTTGTTTCTTCAAACCCCATTATTCTCAAAGATATCAATGCAAGCCTGGAGAGGTATACGAATCTTCTCCTTCCCCCTTAGTATACCGACTCATCTCTGAGATGACTCGCCTTTAACAGGCGAGGACATACATTTTAGACGCCCTAATCGCACAATCATTTGCGTACGTAATGATCATAATGCAGTCCTTTGGTTGTGAATTTCCGGAAAGGTAGAGGAGAAGTTTCAATCTAGGGGTCAACGTTTTCAGAGTTCCACGAATGACTTGCGTCCGCACATATAATTTACGATCCAACGTGTAAAACTTGACTTGGTTCATTTGACGTCCTCAAAAGGTTTGGGATGGTTGAAGGTATCTGTAATCGAGGTTAATGTTTGGCAATAGTATAGCATTTACGATTGTTTGGGAGCAGGAATGCTTGAAAAGTCTTAGCTACTTGCGAAAAAAGGGCTTGGCTTTAGTAGCGGGCCATCCTGCCCATTTTCCAAGCAACAGGAGGTATTAGGGTGGTATTATTTCATTTCAAGGATTGAATAAATACACACGTTGTTACATTTGAATTAAGACTTACAAAATCGACATTGAGAGCTCAGAAATATTAACTGAGCTGTCAATATATATTAATATAAAATGGGTATATCACAGGATCCCCAGGATGAAGAGATTGGAACGAAATGCTGTGTCCCTGAGAAATAAGTGTAAAATCTTCTGTCCGAATTGGGGCTTTTTGAATGCCCAGGTATAAAGCCGAGCAGAATGTGATGATTTGACCAGGCAAATTGTCTCCAATGAAATTAATGTTATGTCTACCGACATATGAAATCTGCACTTCCACTATGTTATTATACTCATTTATTGCGTCAACATACATACCCAATGATGCTCTCTATAGTTTAGGTATTGAAAATAAAAACCCCTGCGGTTTTACTTTTTTTATTCTCTAACTTGTATATCAAATGATGATTAAGAAAATAAGCATTAAGATTACCAATTCAGCGTTTTTATAAATAAGAATTAATTATTAAATATACGGAAATAAATAAATGTAATTTCAAAATGAATAATGAACTACATTTAATTATTCATGAAATCTTGGTGACAGGAAGATAAATTAATAAGCAACAACATTTGTTTGGGTTTGGGCTTTTATTAAATCTCTGAAATCAATTTGGAGACCCAAAATGTGCCCACAAAAAGAAGGGGTTGTGCAGTTCGCCAACTCATATTTAAAGTGCTACCTGGTTTAATTAAATACGTCATCTGACAGACAGAACAATTTGATACATTTTTATAGGATTTATTTTTATAACCAAGTGGAAGTCAAGTGGCTGGAGTTCAAAGCTAAAACAAATTTCCGAAACATCGTCACTGATGATTTCGCTAGATATATACCTGGTGGACGAATACATAAAGGGTGTCCTGATTTCCCAGCATAAGCAGAGTCGTTGAGCTTCGTTTTTCTAATTCCAGCTATTTAATAGCCGTACAGACTGGTTTTAAGAGAACACCATCGGTGTAAGTTGTTGGAAACATAAAATCTTGAAATTGATTTTAGAAAAATGTGTTCTTATGGACCTTATGAACGAAATATCTGAAATGGTCCCGAAAGAGACCAGTATAGTGATACAAGGATTTAACTAAAGGCTCACTGCGGGTTTATGTCATCCGCTTAAGTCTATAATCTGTTAAAAAAATTGGCACAAGGCAGGTCGACCGACGCCAACACATTAGAACCCAGTTCCATAGACAAGTATTTATACTATTTGATGCACAATTTGAAATATCATTTCGGAAGCATTTCGTTAGACCTGATTTCCCAGCACAAGCAGAATCGATGAGCTTCGTACTTATAATTCCAGCGATCTAATAGCGATAAAGAGTGAATTTCAGATGTTGATCGGCATAAGTTGTTGGAAACCTGAAGTAAATTCTATTGGAATTAATATGAGCAAATCATATCATTCTCGACCTCTGCAAAAATATCCGGAATATATTCTAAAAGACCAGTATAGTGATATAGGGATATAACTTAAGGTTCACGGTGTGTTTTAGTCGTCTACCGAAGTCTCAAACCCTGTGATCTGTTAAAAAGAAATAATGTCCTCAAGTCGGACGACGCCATCACATTGGGCGCCAGTTTCATTCATGATGACATCTCGACGCCTCCGATCCATAGTATGCTAAGTCTGAAAAGTGAGTTTTTCAGTAGAAGCTCTCAAAGTATGGAAGTTTCATATATCATACGGGCCATGCTGAGTACATTTTTGCTTATAACTTTGGTTTGGATTGGATACTTCTTTCTTTAGTTCATGCCACGCGTTGGGACCGGACGGAATTTATATGGAAATGATGTACATTGATACAGGGAGTTTCTTTCATGTAGTCCCTCACAGCGTAAGTCATCCGCGTAAGCCACAATTTCTAGAACGTGTCAACAAGCAAAAAAAGACCATCTAGTCTTCAGACCCCAAGACATTGGGCGCCACCACAAGTTCCACAATCAAGAATGTATACCAGTTGACATAGCGGATTGGTGATGCAGTGAAATGCATAGTAAGAGTTTTGGTGAGGATCATCCAAATCTAGAGAGAAAGAGGTGAGAGCCCCCAGATCAGGAAGCCTGGACTGTTCAGTATTTGTACTGTGAATTATCAAGGTATTTATAGTATCTGTCGGGTAAGAGACGTTGAAAATGTGAATAAGGTAATAAAGACTTCAAAGATGAATGTCGATTTCACTGCTGACTCAGTTATGAATGTCATCTGAAGCGCAAAGATAAGGAACATTTTGGGAACGGACAAAATTTCTATGGTAATGATGTGCAATTGGATGTGAGGAAGTTCTTTACATTGAAACAGGGAGCTCCTTTTAGATAATCCTCTTATCACAATTTATACGATATGTTAAAAAGTAGAACCAAAAACTCATCCGACATTAAAGTGTTGGGCGCCATTTTGCCTAAAATACTAATTCTATAGAACTTTTGGGATACCCTATTGATTATGCTGTGGGATATGTGTACGAGTTCGATGGAGGATTATCCCAAATGCATAGAACCAAAAACTCATGTCGTTCGACGCCAACATGTTCGGCGCCATTTTGCCTAAACTACTAATTCTATAGAGCACTATTGATTATGCTGTGTATTGTCCCAAATGTTTGATCTAGAGAGAGAATTCCTAAAGTATAAGAGAGAGAAAGAACTACAATACGAACAGAATATTTGGTATTTATATTCTGGATCAGCAAGGTATTTCGTTTTTGTAAATAAACAATTTATCACAGGTGCATTTGCACTCATAAGAAAAGTATTCTATGGTGTCAGATAATTGCTATGGGCACGGCTTAATCGTTCACACATTTTGATACTAAATTCATTAGTGTGAGTGTGTGTGTTCTTTATATCATTGAAGAATACACAACAATTGTTGCCATTTTTGTTTTGGAGGGCAGATATATCATTATTTCGGGCAATTGAAACGTGTGTCTGCTGCTAATTGTCCAATGCCAATGAAATATTTATTTGTACATCTACATGGGGTGCCAAAATTATAACGAAAGCTATTTGAATATTGATATGTGGCGATAGCTATATTAGTTTATATATTTATAATCATAATTTGTTTAGTTTTTGGCATATTGATCAGTGTTGATAGCTATATTTGAAATCGATATATTATTCGTCAATGAGGCCTAATAATCGAGTAGCTATGATTTGTTTTTATAATTGTATACATGATTATGGTTTATTAAACATGAGTGTGTTGTCTAATAAAATAAAATTACACAATTTATTTAAAATAAATAATTTCTTGAGGTTTGATTTGATATCAATGACTGGCTGATATAAAAAATGTTGGGAAAATACATGAATGTGCCCTACAGTAGTACTACAGTGGACATTCAGGTAATGTCCCGAACAAAGTGCAAGGGAAATTTTTAACCACCAAAAACTCTATAATCAAAAAAATTCGATTTGCTAAATATTGGTTTTAAAAATGGCAATCACTTTAAGAAATATATATATATATATATATATAACATTTTATACACCAAAGCGGAAGCCAATCAAAGTTTAAAATAAGATTTTCTCGCAACAACCAAATATATTTATTTAATTTTTGTATTAAATATACACGTCTGTCCTTATCAAAGAGTTGCAAGAAATAACTTCCTCCATAGGAATTTACCTCTTTAAGAAATGTGTACACATTCGTTTAAAGGTATGCCTTATTTTTCATCTCATAAACCAAATATCCAAATTTAGGCTTATCTGAACACTTCTTCAAATTACGATAATTAAAAAAATGTTTTGTTTTAACCACAAGAGTGAACCCAAATAAAATTTCAAGATTCTAAGTATATTTGTTAAATAATTGGTGCATGTCCGCATGATGAAGTAACGTAACGGTTATTTTCAAATCCCTGCTTTTTGATTAGATAGTTTTTAAAAAATATGTATTAAAACATGTTTGCTGCAGGGTTAATTAAAAAACCCCGCGCTTAAGTAAAATCGAAATATCTTTAAAATTCCCTAAACAATCATGGGGCTATATTGAACATTTGAAGCAGAAATTTCTTCACCCTTCAAGAGAGCGGAATGTCAAGTTATGTTGAAAATGCTTTAAAAAAATGGCGTCACCATTATACGAGGTTTATATCACTACGTGGACTCATATCGACAATTTTCTGCAAAGATTTTTTCTCCCTCCTCGAACTCTAAATGGAAATTCGACTAAAGCATAAGCAAGAGAAAAAGGCGTTAAGTTCGGACGGTGTAAGCTGCGGGTTCAATATGAAAATTGTCATTGCAGAAAAAATTGTATGACGCTACACCTTAAGCGGGACCAACTTGGATTATATCGTGTAGGAATTACTGAACTTTTAGAGTTATTATTATTTGAGGTGCTATGCCTAATATCGAACTTAAATTTTCCTTTTGTATCACAATACCTTCCTTCACCCTAAATATTAAATCGGTAGTTATTTTTATATTTTTATATAAGGATATATAGGGACTTTGGTATCAAAATTACATTAAATATATGTATGTCCTATATCTAAATCTGGACCTATTTTAACGAAACTTAACATAAATCATTGTAGACTTAATTCACTATGCTATGCAAAATTTCGTGCAAGTCGAAGGATATATAGGTAATTTGATGCACAATTTACCTTAAATCGGACGAAAATATGTGTGTGAGCTATACATAAATCTTAACATATTTTCACGAAACTTAACATGCATTATTCTACGTTATACCAAATTTCGTGCAAATCGAATGATATATAGGACTTTGGTTCACCATTACATTAAATCGGACCCATACATCGCATGCATCATTTTAGACCTTATTCAGTACGCTGATCCAAATTTCGTGCAAATCGAAAGACATATAGGTACTTTGGTGCACCATTTATGGGAGCTACATCTAAATCTGAACCGATTTTCACCAATTTCAATAGGGTTCGTCCTTGGGCCAAATAAATGAGCTGTACCAAATTGCGTACAATTCGGATTATAAATGTAATCTGTACTTTGAGCTTTACTTTTAACATCAACAGACGGACGGAAAAAAATCCACGCTTATTGGTCGAATATATCTTCGAAAAATATACTTTAAAAATCCACGCTTAATGATCGAATATGTCGTCGAAAAATATTCTTTAAAAATCCACGCTTAATGATCGAATATGTCGTCGAAAAATATTCTTTAAAAATCCACGCTTAATGATCGAATATGTCGTCGAAAAATATTCTTTAAAAAATCCACGCTTAATGATCGAATATGTCGTCGAAAAATATTCTTTAAAAAATCCACGCTTAATGATCGGATATGTCTTCGAAAAATATTCTTTAAAACATCCACGCTTAATGATCGGATATGTCTTCGAAAAATATTCTTTAAAAAAATCCACGCTAAATGATCGGATATGTCTTCGAAAAATATCCTTTAAAAAAATCCACGCTAAATGATCGGATATGTCTTCGAAAAATATCCTTTAAAAAAATCCACGCTTAATGATCGGATATGTCTTCGAAAAATATTCTTTAAAAAATCCACGCTTAATGATCGGATATGTCTTCGAAAAATATTCTTTAAAAAATTCACGCTTAATGATCGGATATGTCTTCGAAAAATATTCTTTAAAAGATTTATGATTAATGGTCGGATAGGCATTGAAAAATATTTTTTAAAAATCAACTCTTATCTTCGGATATGGCTTGAAAAAATATTCTTCAAAAATCCACAATTAATGGTCGGATATGCCTTGAAACATATTTTTTTTAATTCCACGGTTTTTAGGTATTCAAAAAATGTTGGAGGTATATTTTCCGAATTTTACTTACTTTAGCCCATTCCATGGCATAATCACACATCTGTTTATTTAATGTCAGCGGCTTAACGCCGTGCAGTGCCCGCAGCCGATTGTGCTCAACCAAACAACGTTGTTCGAAATTATACAAATCCTCCTCATTTCCTTCACCTTCATTTGTATTCCGTTGCTTTGGCCTGCGATCCAAAATGGATTTTAGATTAAAACGTTTACGTTTTGGAGTATTCACAGGTATGGGAGTCACTGTTGAACGATACACACGTTCATTGTTGCTCGTCTCGCCACCGCCACCGCCTCCGACTTCGACAACTTCGATCTTTGGTGTTGTATTTATCACATTTGTGGAATAGATAGTTTTGACCACGGTAACAGTATTACCACTTTTCTTAACTTTGGTTTTGACAATTGGCGATGAGGATGAGGTGGATTCGGTGGTATTCGCAGGTTGTAGCAGGGGTATATCGGGAGTCTTTGGTCTTGAGATTTCAAATGTGCGCCGAAGCTGAGCTCCGGTCTGCACTTGATTTACGACACGTGTGGTCTTTGTCACCGTTATGGTATTTCCGCTTTTTCTGGTTTTCACCTTTGTTTGGGTCAAAGGTGCCGTTACATTGTTGTTGGGTGTTCGCAAATCCTCTTGGGAATCTATACGTAATGGTGACAATTCCAGGGTACATTGCATTGGTTGGCCATATTGTTGTTGTTCCCCATCGGCGGCATCACTTTGTTTTGAAACACAAGAAAAACAACCCATTTTGGTTGTATTTCCCTTCCTCTCTCTCCCTTTATAGGAGTAACGGAAGCTATACGAACGTGACTTTTTCAATTGTTTGAATATTTATTTAATTAATTAATTTCGTTCGAGAGAGATGATGTTCGTTGTTGTTGTTGCTATTATTTTTCGTTCATTTTCGCTGGAGACCGGCACGAATTTTATTTATTTTTTTGTGTTCGCTCTACGGGTTGTGTTTGGCTCCGACTCTTCTTTGGTACTATTTGAGCGTTATTTTATTTCTATTGCTTCTGTCGATCGCGTTCACATTCGAATGGTTATGACGGATAGGATAGAGCTACGTATAATTGAGTGCGTGTCTCCCTCCCCAAATAGAGTTTTACAAAAGAGTAACAGCCTCAACTAAGTTGTGTGGAGAATGAAATGACGGTGTTCGGCTGGGCCGGTTGGAGATTACTCACCCAACAATTTCAAACTGATAAGCGTTGAATTGATGATGATGATGGGGGGTTTACGAATATGTATTTTTGTTCTTAACGTTGTTGTTGTCGTGGTTGTTGTTGTTTTATTTCATTTAATAAAACTCAACCACAATGCATATCGTTCTTATGGTTCATTTCATGAGCAGTGGAATGACTTGAAGAAACTTTTCAAGTTCAGCAATTTAACAAAGGCAGCTGTTCTCCATTGCTTCGAACATGTTTTGTGTTATTGTGTCCATTTCCAGAGAGCACACAAAAAAAGCTCCAAAAAATTAATGACTTGTTGCTATAAACTCATTTGGAGAAGACCAAAACAAAACAAACGCTGAATGTTTAACCCTCATACAAGAGAAAGATACAATTGATCTGCATAAATGGGTCCCAGAAGAACCCATATTACCAAGTTCATATTTATTTAAAGAAAATATTTCTTAAAAATTCAATGAGCGTGGATTTTTAAAGAATATTTTTTGAAGGCATATCCGAGCATTAAGCGTGGATGTTTGAAGAATATTTTTCGAATCCATATCCGACATAGAAGTCTGAAAGAATAATTTTTAAGGCAGCGTGAATTTTTTAAAGAATATTTTTCTAAGGCATGAACGGCCAAAAAACTTGGATTTAAAAAAATGCTTTTTTTGGAGGCGTATCTGACCAAAAACGTGGATTTTTAAGAATATTTTCCGAAGGTATTCTCGGCCAAAAAGGGAGGATTTTTAAGAATATTTTTCGAAGGGATATATGACTAATAAACCTAGATTTTGAATGAATAGTATTTTGTGGCATATCCGACAATAAGACCTGGATTTTTAAAGAATATTTTTTGGAGGCAGAGTCAACCTATTAGCTTGGATTTAAAAAAATATTTATCGAAGGCATATCCGACAAAAAAATATGGATTTTTAAATAATATAATAAATATAATATTGCATTTTGAAAAAAATATTTTTCGAAGGAATATCCGACCAATAAGCGTGGACTTTTTAAAAAATATTTTCAAAGACATATCCGAAGAAAAAACATATTTGTTTAAAAATATTTTTTGAATGTACATCTTACTTAAGTGCGTGGATTTTAAAAGTATATTTTACGAAGACATATCCGACTAAAAGGCACGGATTTTATAAGAATATTTTTCGAAGGCATATCCCAGCAATAAGTGTTGGTTTTTAAGGAATATTTTTCGAAGCCAAATCCGAGCAATAACCGTTGATGTTTTAAAGAATATTTTTCGAAGCCAAATCCGACCAATAAGCGTGGATTTTTAAAAAAATATTTTTTGGAGACATATCCGACCAATAAGCGTGAATTTGTAATGAATATTTTTCGAGGGCATATTCGAGCGTGAATTTTTAATGAATATTTTTCGAGGGCATATTCGAACAATAAGCGTGGTTTTTAAAGAATATTTTTTCGGAGGTATATCCGACTAAAAAGTACGGATTTTTAAAGAATATTTTTCGAAGGCATATCTGAGCAATAAGCGTGGATTTTTAAAGAATATTTTTCGGAGGTATATGCGACTAAAAAGTATGGATTTTTAAAGAATATTTTTCGAAGGCATATCTGAGCAATAAGCGTGGATTTTTAATGAATAATTTTTAAGGCATATCCGACCAGTAAACGACATTTAAAGAATATTTTTGAACGTTTTTCCGACCAAAAAGCACGGATTTTTAAAGAATATTTTTTGAAGGCATATCCGACCAGTAAAAATCCGACCGACTAAAAAGCATGGATTTTAAGGAATATTTTTCTAAGGCTGTCCAACCAATAAACGTGGAATTTTTAAAGAATATTTTTGGAAGCCTTATACGACATATAAATTCAAATATTTTTGAAGTCTTATTCGACCAAAAAACATGGGGTTTTAAAGAATATTTTTCAATTGTATAGTCGACGAGAAAATGTGGATTTTTTAAAGAATATTTTTCGAAGACATTCGCGACAAATAAGCGTGGATATTTATACCCTGCATATGTTTGTAACAGGCAAAAGAAAATGAGATAGACACATGGTTCCTTTTGAGAATATTCATCGAATCACTTTCTGAGTCGATTTATGCTTGTCCGTCCGTCCTTCTGTCCAAGAATTCTTGTGAATTTTATGAACCGATTTAGATGAAATTTGGAATAGCTCACTTATTTGGCCCCATTGAAATTGGAGAAAATCGGTTCAGATATAGATATAGCTCCTATATATATTTTCATCCGATTTTACCTAAATGGTGCACCAAACTCCCAAGGATTGTCCGATTGATACAACATTTTGCACATCGCATTGAAATAAGCATATATTGATGTAAACGAAGTTTTGTTGAAATCGGTTCAGATTTAGATATAGCTTCCATATACATTTTCGTCCGATTTTATGTAAATGGTGCACCAAACTCCCAAGGTTTTCCCGATTAAGGCAAATTGTGCACAGCGTACTGAATTCAGTCCAGTTTGATGCCTGTAAAGTTTTGTTGAAATCGGTTCAGATTTAGATATAGCTTCCATTTTCAGTGTCTTCCGATTTTATGTAAATGGTGCAACAAACTCCCAATATTTGTCCAATTGTCCAGTTTGATGTCTGTGAAGTTTTGTTTAAATCGGTTCAGATTTACATATAGCTCCCATACATATGCTATGCTATGTCTCTTTATTCAAAAGGATATTGTACACATTATCATTTCTTGTATGTACCCAAAGAGGTGAAGGGTATCATATATTTGGCTTCGTCCGACTTTTAATATTTTCTTACTGGTTTTTATTCTATAAAAATTCACATTTATTGGTCTAAAAATTCCTGGTGTAATAATTTTTTTTTAAAATTCCATCCCTAATATTCTAATAGTCCATCTAATATTCTTTGAAGTCCACAAAAAGCCCACATCGCCAAGGCAAGGGTTAATGAAAATAATTTGCTTGCGTTTGCTGAACATGATTCCAAAATACACGAACAAGTAAAACATTTGGTTCTCAACCCTTGTTGTTTAGCTAAATTGTAGATCTCCAAATTATATGTTAGAAGGTTATGTTTATAAATGAGCTAAAGATGTTTTTTTTTTTCTCTCGTGCATTTTCTTACTCTCTGTTTGCGTGTTCTAATTGTTTTGCGTATCAAACGTAGGAAACATTCTCTCACACAGTATTTCAAAACAATATAATGCGAGAATTAAACATGTTTATAAATAATTAAAAAAAAATGATAAATGAAAAATTTTGAATGGATACAATTTACTTAGTAGACATTGGGAATCAGTCAAAGTTGGGTCTGGCAGTAAATGGCGGGAAGACCAGGCTGATGGTACCAACGCGCAAGACGTTAAGTATACTCGGACCAACTTTGCAACTTGAGAACTACAGCTTCGAGGTAGTAAAAGATTTTATAAACCTTAGTACAGCCATAAATAAAACTAATGACATCGGTTTTGAAATTCGGAGAAGGATAGTGCTGGCCAACAGATGCTACTATGGTCTAAGTAAGCACTGCAAGACGCTCATACTACCAGTGCTGTTATATGGATATGAAGCAAGAAGCGTAGGCTGATGAAGCAGGTCTTGGAGTGTTTGAGAGAAAAATTCTTCGAAAGATCTATGGGACGATTTTCGGTGAATATCGCCGTCAAATGAACCATGAGTTGTATTATCTATTCTCGGATATCGGCATTGTCAGATGTATCGCGACTACGTTGGCTAGGTCATGTTGTGATAATGCATGAGGATGCCCCTGCACAAAAGGCATATAAAAGGTCACGACTAGATGGAAAGATCATGTAGAAGAGAAGATGTCGAAACACGGTATTTTAAATTAGAACAGCTGCGCGCAAGACCGACGCGCCTTGAAAAATACAAAAATAAAGATTTTAGAATTGAAAGCATATTTCTTAAAATTCAGGAAACATTTTAAATCGGTTATGCTAGCGGACAAAACTAAAGCACAGCCAAAATTATTAAACTCAATATTTCGTTGTGTATCCTTTATTCTGGAGGACAAAGATATATAAGCTTTTCGGCACATAGGTCATTAAAATATTATTTATTTCAGGCGCTATTGCTTCCCAGGCCATCATTCCGTTCAAATATTTTTATACCCTCCACCATATAGTATGGAGGGTATATTAATTTTGTCATTTCGTTTGTAACTCATCGAAATAATCATTTCCGACCCTATATATATACTATAATATATACTTCATTAGGGTAAAATTCTAAGACGATCTAGCCATGTCCGTCCATCTGTCCGTCCGTCCGTCCGTCTGTTGTAATCACGCTATCTTCTGAAGGAATTGAGATAGGGTACTGAAATTTTGCATAGGGTTGACTTTTGACTGCAGTCAGGTCAAGTTCGAAGATGGGATATATCGGTCCACGTTTAGGAATAGCTTCCATATAAGGGTACCCCTAATTTTCGGTATTTTGGGGTTATTGAGCACGTTTTTCAACCGAATTCGCTGAAATTTGCTACAATGGATTCTTCTTGAGTTCCAAATTTCTCCACAAAAAATTATAAATATAGGTCCACATTTTCTGGTAGCCCCCATATAACGGTACC